TTTCAATTATGCTTACCAATATGATCCATTGGCTAAATACTGACAAAATCTATTTAATTAGCAAGTACGGTGCTTTGCTCCGTAACACTACAGTACAGCATAATTTACTGTAACAAATAATAACTACCAAAGTTCTTACTGTAAATCATTATTAGTTATCTCCATATATAAATGTTAACAACTAAATTTAGTGATTTACTTTTCACGGTGGTTCGTATCGTGACAAACGTATCTACTAGTATTATCAAATTTTCGAAATAATTTTTGTCTATATTTTGGTAGAAAAGATAAGATTTATTTAAACGGACAATTGGAGCTAGTAATATAACTATATTGATTTATTTTCGAAATTTACTAAATATTCACTTCTTGGATTTTCATTTCGCTAGCCTAGCCTTTAAAAATCGAATAAGTGAACTGAAGAGTAGCTACTTCCAAAATTTAACCAATCTAATGCAATTGTAAGAGATAAGTAAATAATCCAATAGAATATTTTTTTCGGAGGCCTTTTTACTATCATGAAATTAGTACAAGATCAGCCGCGAATAATGTAGGATTATTTATAAATAAAATAGATGCCGAATTAATTTCAAATTCTATTAAATGCTCCTAGAGATATCAGTTTTAACGAAATAAAATCTCTTGAAAATGGCATATTTAAAGGGTGTCAAGATATTGCAATCATGTAGGTTTCCATACGAGACTCAATTGACTTGACTATCAGTCTTAAATAAAAAATCAATCCCCCTTTTCATGAATCGCAGAAAGATTTCCTATAGTTCTCTTATTAAATGATCATTAATATGTAATCCGCGGATATTTAGGAATCTGAATCATAATAAAATTTCTAGCATTGAAAAGAAAACTTTCCAAGGTTTATCGAAGTTATCTTCGCTGTATGTACTGAATTATTTTACCAGCTGTTACCAATGCGTATAAAATATTTTTACAATCTTGAAAACTAGCAAGCATTGTAACTGGCACTTTGATTTATTAGAGACCTCAGCTATAATCGAATAACATCTTTGAAAGGAATATTTCATCCAGATTTAATTGAGTTAAATTCGTTGTAAGTAATCATTTCTTTATGAATTGGAGCTTCCTAGTACGGTTACTCTCTATCCTATTCGTGGACAATTTTAGTTTGAGATT